GGTCCAGGCCCCCAGCCCCTCCTCCCTCAGACCCAGGCGTCCAGGCCCCCAGCCCCTCCTCCCTCACACCCAGGGGTCCAGGCCCAGCCCCTCCTCCCTCAGACCCAGGCGTCCAGGCCCCCAGCCCCTCCTCCCTCACACCCAGGGGTCCAGGCCCAGCCCCTCCTCCCTCAGACCCAGGGGTCCAGCCCCCAGCCCCTCTCGTGTTTACTCACTGGAACCACTGCCACGTGTCTCTGGTCTTTGTCACCAGCGGCCCCACCAGCCCCTTCACCTTCTCGCGCACCAGGTTCCAGGAACTACTTGCCAGGCCGGGCGGGGGGGTCGGGGGGCTCGGGGTGCCTGCATGCACTCCTCGCTGGCATTCTGGGGGTGACAGGGGCGCCTTGGGTAGGCTGGGATCCCAGAACCCTGCTCCCTCCCTGCCCGCTGTCGCTGTCACTCCTGGTGGCCCAGGGGCAGCCCTTCGCCAGGTCTGCTGGCCTTCACCCCCTTATATGTCCCACTCTCTCGCCGCTGCCCTCCTGCAGCCATTGGTCACCTCCCTTCCCCCCTGTGCCCGCGGCCCCTCCTGTCACCCCTCTGTCTGCCTGTGGTTCTCTCCCTCGCCCGTCCCCCCACCTCTCCGACCCCGGTGTCTGTCCTGGTGCCTCCTTCACCACGGATCTTGCTGCCCCTCCGTTCTCCCGTGACCCCCATACCGAACTCCCTCCAGGGCACAGGAGGCCGGTGCCCCGGGGACGGAGCCGGCAGGGCTGTGCTGTCCTGGTGGGCGCTGCCCTCCCTTGCCCCCCGCAAAGCCTCACCCACAGAGCAGCCACCACACAGCTGCACATGTACACGCGTGTACAGAGGCACCCATGTGACGGGCCGTGTGCCCTCGGCCAGTGACTGACCCTCTTCCAGACTCAGTTTCCCTTTCTGTGGCATGGGCTGATGACAGGACCCACCTCACGGGTTACCGTGGGATTCAGAACGAACTCGTGTCAGGCACTCGCACCGGCGCCTTGCACACTGAGGCGCTGTATACGTGTTAAAACGGTACGTGCACGAGCACACCCAGGTGGACTCGCTCCGGTGCTCACACACACCCTCACACGTGGACACACTCAAAGCTTTTGCATGAAGACCCCACAAAGGCACACGTGCGCGCGTAGGCATACACACGCATGCTCACAGAGACGCACACGTTCACCAGGACTGCACATTCATGCTTACACACACATGCATGACCCCTGGCATGTGTTCCAACCCCACATACACACTTCACACACAACTGCCGCTGACACACACTCGCCAAGAGCATGCATGTCTACAAACTGCACTGCACGTCACAGTCACACTCATCCCCTGCCGCTGCGGGGTCCCCAAAGCCCCCCACCCACAACTTCTCACCCACAACACAGGCCAGGACCACAGCGCAGAGGCCGAGGGCGGCTAGGGCCCGGGGCCTGAGTCCAGGGAGCAGCATTTCTGGGGGCTCTGTCTCTCTGTGCTCAGTGATCCGGGCTGGGGGAGGGGAGGCTGCACCGCACACAGCCCTCCCCCCCTGCCTCCCACGCCCCTTGGCAGGGACTTCAGAGAGAGGGACCTACATGGCCGTGACAATCAGAGGCTACGCCCGCCCCCGCTGGCCTCCCTCCTGCCTGCCTTCCCAGCTCCTGGCAAGAGAGGGGAAGGCAGAACATTCGTTGGCCTTTGGTGCTGAACCAGGTTCAAACCCTGGCTCCACCCATGTGACTTCATGGGCCAGTCACCAGTTCTGGCCTCAGTTTCCTGCTCTGTAAAATGGGCCCACAATCCATGCTTCAGGCAGGACATTAACTCAAGGAGATGATACAAGGAAAGGTGCTAACACAGAGCCTGGCCATGAATGTGGTCATAGATCATAGCTGTGTACGATTATTTCTTTCTTCTCTAACATCTCTTGGCTATAGGGCCAGACACACCCTCACCACGTGGCCTGGGCAAATACATCCCCTTCTCTGGGCCTCAGTGTTTTCATCTGTAAAATGGGGGTGGTAATAAGCACCTGCCATGCAGAGTCCATGTGAAGGCTGGGTGAGGCCCGGCAGGGAAGGCTCCAGATGCGTGTAGTAGGAGGTTGTCGGCATCAGGTTGGTGCCCAACGCTAGACAGAAAGAAAATGAGCCTATTTTGCCCTGGCCGGGTAGCTCAGTTGATGAGCGCGTCATACTGATACTCCAAGGTTGTGGGTTCGATCCCAGGTCAGGGCACATACAAGAATCAACCAATGAATATAAATAAGTGGAACAACATATTGATGTTTCTCTCTCTCTCTCTCAAAACAAAGACAACATAAAACAGAAAATTATTTTATTTTTTCTTTTATTTTTTCAAAATCTTTATTGTTGAAAGTATTACATATGCCCCCCTCCCCGTTGACCCCTCTAGCCCACCCCCATCCTCTACCCCAGGCCTTCACCACCCTATTGTCTGTGTCGATGGATTTTATATATCTATATCTATATCTATATCTATATCTATATCTATATCTATATCTATCTATATCTATATCTATATCTATATGAAAATTATTTTTAAAAAGAAGTCCTCGGTCTAGGGTTGCCAGATAAAATGCAGGACTCCCGGTGATGTGGGCATTTCAGATAAATGACGCATTTTACTTCCAGTGTAAGTATGTCCCATTCAGCATTTGGGAATTATACTAAAAATGATCTGTTGTTTATCTGAAATTCAGGTCTCACGGGGCGTCCTGTGTTTGTAGGAGGAAATCTGGCAACCCCAGCTGGGGCCCAGCCTGAACACCCGCACAGGGGGTCATGGACCACCCACCCAGGGAGACTGTTCACGCACAGCGCCGAGGGCCGTGCCAGGTACGCCGCAGAGATGCTGGGGCCCTGTCAGCTGTTGTTTATGAAGCTTGTGTTTCCCGGAGCACCAGGCGCTTGGGCAGGGCTTTAGCGCATTAACTCGCTGACGTAACTCACAGCGGCCCTAGGAAGTGGGCCTCTGTATCATTCCCATTTCGCAGATGGGGAAACGGAGGCTGCCGGGTGGGAGTGCGGGGAAGGCCACTTACCCACGCACAGCTCCTCACCCGGACACCTCAGGCTACCTCGCCAAGCCAGAGCGCCCGCTGCCCCACCTCCCCGCCTGAACCCCAGAGGCCAAGAGGGAGGTCGCTGACCCCTGCCCCAGCTCCAAGGTCAGCTGGACTGTTTGCTGTTTGCTTCTTGCAATGTTTGCCCACCTCGGGGCCAGGAACAGGCTGAACGTCGTTCAGGGTGGACCTCAGAGGCAGCTCGAAAACAACCGGGCAGGAGGGGGGCGTGTTGGGGGCAGAGAGGTCCTGAGGAAGGTGTGGGGGGGTGATTTGCAAGCGGTCGGCAGGCCTGCAGACCCCAGTGTGTGTGTGTCGGCCCCAAGTTTGAGGCTCTATTCCAAAGCAGTGAGCCCTGGCCCGTGTGGCTCAGTTGGTTGGTGTGTTGTCCCCATGTCCCCATGCACCAAAAGGTTGCAGGTTCGATCCTCTGTCAGGGTATGTATGGGAGGCAACAGATTGATATTTCTCTCCCACATGTCTCTCTCTCTCTCTCTCTCTCTCTCTCTCTCTCTCTAAGCTTGTCCTTGGGTGAGGATTTTTAAAAAAGAAGAAAAGAGATTGATTGGCTCTAAACTGCTAGAGAAATGGCCAAGTAAAAATTAGTACTTGTTCAATTAAAGGGGTACAAAATATACTCTTTTTAAAAAAAAATTTAAATTCTTTATTGTTTAAAGTATTTTCCCCCCATTGACCGCTCCCCAGCCACCCCCACCCCCCGGCACATGCCCTCACTCTCTACTGTCTGTGTCCGTGGGTTAGGTCTATGTGCACACACACACAAGTCCTTTGGTTGATCTCTTACCTGCCCTCCCCCCTCCCCTGCCTTCCCTCTGAGGTGGGACGGTCTGCTCGATGCTTCTCTGGATTTGTTTTTGTTCATCAGTTTATGTTGTTCAGAATATACTCAAACCCACTGGCCAACCATAGCGCAATGCCTCACCCGGTTGTTATCTAATGAGGGATGAGGCAGGGTGACTCGGGGAAGAGGGAGGGGGACTGAGGGAGAATGTGGCCCTGGGACCCCCCCCTCCCCCCCTGCGGGCTGTGGCGGCGACTTTAACCGACTGTGTCTCACTCCGCTTCTTCCTCTGTACGTCGGGGTCGGCGAGAGCCTACCTAGAGGGGTTTTGTAAAAATTTAATGCTTCGTGTTTTTGTTTTGTTTTTCCAGATTTAGCACATTTGTTTCACCAAATATTATTATTATTATTATTTTTAATTTTTTATTGATTAAGTTATTACATATGTGTCCTTATCCCCACTCACCAAATATTATGGAGCCCCTGCACTATGCCCTGTCCTGGGGACATGGTGGTGACGAACAGCCTTGGCCCTGTCCTCCGGGGGCTCACAGTCCAGTGGGGGAGACGGCCATCACCAGACGGTGACAACCAGACTGGGCAGGGTTGGGATATAGGGGTTTGACTCAGCCAAGGGGTGAAGGAGGACTTCCTGGAGGAGGGGACATCAACCCCGAGACTTGGAGGGTGGAGATGGGGTGGGTCTCTTTCAGGGCCCTAGCCCAGGTCCTAACCTTGCTCTCTTCCAGGCCCCCCTTCATTACCCATGGAAAGTGTAATAAACACCTACTGTGTGCATGGGGACGACCCACCCCAGGTCCTTATCTTGGGCAGCCCACCCGGGAAGAGCTGTATGCCCCAGGCTGGGGTGCTGTCCAGGTCTCCACTTCCTGGCTGTGTGACCTTGCACAAGGGTCTTCGCCTCTCGGGACTTCAGAGTCCTCCTGGGAGCCATAGGGCCCAGCTCCCAAGGTTCGTGTGCAGATTCTCTTGAGATCACAAAGTCCCAAGCCCTCGGCACGGGGAAGGTGCCATATATTTCAGTTCTCTTTTTCCAAGGTGCAACCCCCACCCTGCCCCAAAGCCCTGCCCCAGAGGAAAGAAACACTCAGATTTCTCTATAGGATTTTTATTGGTGGTGGTGGTGGGAGGGAATGTGGGGCATAATGGAGGAAGTCCTCTGCACAGGGGGCCGGTGCGGGGGAAATGTTAGAGCCCCCTCCAGGGGCGCAGCCACACAAGAAAGGGGCAGCCCTCCTGGTGTTCAGGAGAATGGATTTTTTATTGACTCCTTAGCTTTATGGAATTTACCCGAAATCCATTTCCTGTAAGGAGAGACAGGGTGGGGGTGGGGGATGGAGGAGGGTGGGAGAGGGGGAGTGTCACTTTGTCTTGCCTCTCCTGAGATGCCCAAATCCCGCCGAGGGGTCCCCCACCCCAGCCCCTGTGGGATGGGGAAGAGCCCTGGGCTGAGTGGCCCAATTTCTGTGCCTCAGTTTCCCAGATGCACCAGAGCTCCTTAAAGTCAGAACACTTTGCCGTGGCCTGGCTTTCACGGCCTGACATCTCTTGATTCTTGTGTGTGTCCTGACCCGGGACCGAACCCCCAACCATGGCGTACCCGGGGGACGTTCTACCAACTGAGCTACCCAACCAGGGCTAGACCTCAATATAAAGTGTTATCTCTTCAGAAAAGACCCCGTCACCAAGTCTGCAAAATCCCCTCCCCAGTCCTTGATTGTTTACACACACCCGGCTTATGTCTCAATGCTCGGCTTTGTCTGCGCGGATTCTGGGAATTCACTGGTTTCCTTCGTTCTCCAACCCTCACCCTGCCCCCAGAAGGTCAGAGCTCTGTGGGCTGGGACGCTATTATTCCCCCCACTGGACGAGTTCCTGGCACTCAGCAGATGCTCAATGAATATTTGCTCATGAATAAATGATTCTCACCAAAAGGAGCAATGCTGGTTCAACGCTGTGTTGAGCATTTACAATGTGCCAGGCGGTATGCAAGGGTCCCCTCAGAACCAGCCATTTTGCAGATGAGGAAACTGGGGCTCATGCTCACACAGGGAGTAGCGCGTCTTTGCCAGCCTGTGGCCCCAGATCTGTCCAACCCCCAAGCTTGGATCCTTCACCGCCACCCAGCACCATCTCTCCAGTGTGGCTGGATGGGAGAGTCAGGGAGCCCATCCCCCAAGTCTGAGCGCCCTGAGATCCAGCTGTGTGACCGCAGGGATTTTGTCGGTTTTCTCAGTCTGTTAATTCATACTCCCCTTCCCTCCGCCCTTCCCCCGTCCTCCCATGCCCTGGGAAGGGTCCTAACCAGGCGTCAGACTTTTTGACTGTTTCAATGACTTTCTGGACCTGGTCCTTCATGGTGTCCCAAGGTTTCTGCAGGTTGCCCAGGATGTCTGAGTCGGCCTGGGCCGGAGCTGGGCCTGCCCAGAAGAGAAGCAGGAGAGCAACAACTTCAGTACTGGGCGCCCTTCGGATGAGCTTCCCGGGGTGGAAAAGGAGACCCTTGGATGTGGTTCTTGGGGATCATGGTGTTAGGATGGGAGGGGAGGGTCCTGGAGGGACCAGGTGGTGTTCAAGCTGCGGAGTATTGCCGCCTGCTGAGAGGACCCCCCCCAGAGCCCACCTGGCCGGGTAGTAGTGGGGGTGACCAATGGGCAATAGGGGAACCAGGGCCCAGGAGGGGCCCCCAAGCTCTCAAGGGTCCTCTACGCCTGGATCCCAGGCCCAGGGCAGCTTCATGCTCCCCAATCCTGAGCCCCAGATTCTCCCATCCCACCCACTTTTACCTTCCAAAACCATCAACAGAGCCACCGCCAAGACCGAGAGCGACAGCAGGAGCTTCATGGCTGGGCCGGAGGGCACTCTGGAGGGAGAGGCGGGGTGGGGTGATCTGTGGCGCCCCTCCCCCTCCCCTGAGGTTCCCCCAAACCTTTTGCTTGTGCTCTTGGTGTGTGGAGGGTCCCTCTGGGGCACCAAGCACCAACCTGAATCAGTTGCTGGACAGCAGGGGTAGCAGGTCGCAGGCTGGCCTGGCCTTTATGGTCCCTGGAGAGGGCGGGGCAGGTTCCCTCCCCCTGCGCCTCCCCTGGTGCCTGCCTCTCTGTGCCAAACACCTTTCCCTCTTACATCCCAGGCTGGTGGGGATGGGCGCCAGGTGGGACACAGGCAAGTCCCTTGGCCCGAAGCTTCCCGCTGTTCATTACCTTTCCCTCCAAATCTCCCTGAGTGCGGGGCCTCCGCGGGCTTCCTGCCCCTCCCCTCCTGCTTCACACAGTCTCCCAGCGTCCGGAGGTCTCTCAGGAACGGGTTACTTAGTCACCCCACTCCCATGGTGCCCCAGGCCACCTCTCCCATCCCCTCCCTCTTCTTAGCCTCTTTAGCTCTAACAACTTTTAAAAATATATATATATTTTATTGATTTTAGAGAGGAAAGGAGAGGGAGAAAGAGATAGAAACATCAATGGTAAGAGAGAATCACCAATTGGCTGCCTCCTGCATGCCCCCTACTGGGGATCAAGCCTGCAACCCAGGCATGTGCCCTTGGCTAGAATCGAACCCGGGACCCTTCAATCTGCAGGCCGACGCTCTATCCATTGAGCCAAACCAGCTAGGGCTCTAACAACTCTCGTTCTATGTCTGTGGGGTCCACCCATGCCCCCTCCATTCACACTAGCCCGGTGGTTCCCATGCCCCACCTAAGCATCTCTAAAATCCTGATTGCCACCCCCCCAACATGACATATAATTCTCATTATTCAAAAAGTGAGCTCCTATTTACGTGGAGGAAGCCTAAAAGGCCAGTAACTTGGTCTAAACAAGCTTCCAAAGAACATGGCATCCACGAAAGAGAAAAATAAAAGGACGAAAGGACAGTTGAAGGATTGAGGAAGAAATCACTAAGAAATTGTTTTAAATAATAATAATAATATGAAGGGAGATGAAAAAATAGCAAATAAAGTTTCAAAACATACAATAGAGAACTGAAATGCATAAATATGTCACAATACATATTTATATGAGGCCCCTAGAACCATAAGAAATGCAAAAAATTCACTGTTAATAACTCATTCTCGAATTGCCCCCCTTAAAAATCAAATTGCCCCCCTGTGGGGCCTGTGCCCCACGTTGGGAACCACTGCTCTAGCCCTTTAAGCTTCGCATCTGACATATTTCAGGCCTCCCCGGGGTCTTTTTTTTTTTTTTTTTTTTTTTATTGATTTCAGAGAGTAAGGGAGAGGGAGAGGGAGAGAGAAATATTAATGATGAGAGAGAATCATGGATTGGCTGCCTCCTGCACGTCCCACACTGGGGATCGAGCCCACAACCCAGGCATGTGCCCTTGACCGGAATCGAACCCGGGACCCTTCAGCCCGCAGGCTGACGCTCTGTCCACTGAGCCAAACTGGCTAGGGCCTCCCTGGGGTCTTAACTTCACAGTCCCCAACCCCCCTTTGGGGGCCAGGTCTTTTCAGCCTGTCTAAACCACGCAGCCCCCTCTGCAAGGCTCCCAGGGCCCCCATCATCCCGCCAGGCGCCACGCCCTTGCATTGCCACACCACCTCCAGGCCGCCAGGGGCCCCTGGAGACACTCCGCTGCTCTTCTTCAGCCTCACAGGCCCCTCCTGGCACCAAGCCCCGGCGCCTCTCCCCCCTCCCCCCCCAGCTCTACATCTGTCCCCCAGGGCTGAAGTCCAGTGCTTCTTCCCTTCTTCTCAGCTGCCTCTGACCGTCAGTGACCCCTGGCAGCTCAGGGGAGGGTGGCCTCGGGCCCCAGACTCTAGGTTGGCTGGCCTTGTGCCCCCACAACCACGTGTCAGCCTGGGGGTGAGGGGGCTGGTTGTGAAAGGGACACAGAGACCGGATCCTGGCAAGATTGCAACACCCCTCCGGCCAGCTCAGCAGCTTCCAGCCTCTGTCAGCCCCGAGCCGAGCTGTCTTCCCAGGCACCTGCTTTCCTCGTGAGCCAGCGTTCCCCAGACACCCACCCAAAGGCCTGCTCCCTCCGTATCCGGCCCCACGAGAGTAGAACAACTTTGCATGTTCAGTCTCATCCTCACCTCAACAATAGGGGCATTCGGTTACAGGTGGGGAAACGGAGGACCAGCCAAGAACATTCAAAGACGCAGTGAGGGGCAAATGTGGGGGTGCTCGTCTCCCCCCTTCCCGACTCCAGGCTGTCTCTCCAGATCCCTGCTGGGGTCAGCCTCTGCCCGCAGTGCCCGTAGCACCCCCTGCCAGCCTTGTTCCCCGAAGCTCCTTCCCAGCCCTTGTCCCACCTCTTTTTTAAAAAATATGTTTTCATTGATTTTTTAAAAAATATTTTTTATTGACTTCAGAGAGGAAGGGAGAGATAGAAACATCAATGAGAATCATTGATTGGCTGCCTCCTGCACACCCCCTACTGGGGATTGAGCCCGCAACCTAGGCATATGCCGTTGACAGGAACCGAACCCGGGACCCTTCAGTCCGCAGGCCGATGCCCTATCCACTGAGCCAAACCGGCTAGGACTGTTTTTATTGATCTTAAAGAGAGAGGAAGGGAGAGGGATAGAGACAGAAATATATTGGTGGCCCCCCTCCAGCGATGGAGCCCGCCCTGATCAGGAATTGATTCGCGACCTCTCGGTTCCTGGGTGGACACTCACTGAACCACACCAGCTGGGCTCTCGCACCTCTTAGAACTGCCTGGGGCTGCAGTGAGTCGGGACCCCTCCCTGCTCAGGCGTCTTCATGCATGAGAACTCAGAATTGGTCTCCGCAGATGGGAGACTGATGTGTCCTCCCTCACTGCCATCTAGGGAAACTGAGGCTCTGAGAGGGTTTGGCCCAGCTCCAGGCTTGGCTGGGAGGAGGCCCACTGACCCTTCCCCTCCTTGATCAGCCCTGGGTGAGTGACATGCAGGTCCCCCTGTGAACACAAGCTCAAGCCCTGGCCTGGCCCTTGTGGTGGGAGCTCTGCTCCGAGGGTGGACAGGAGAGCACTCCCTCCCCGGAGGCTCCTCTCCCTTCTCTCCCCAGCAGCGACCCAGCGACCCGGAGGGAAGGAAGGAGTGAGGGCTGGGGACAAGAAGCACAGCTCAGAGTGAAGGTGGGGAGGGTGTGTGTGTGGGGGAAGCTGGCCTGGGCAAGAGAAACTGGAGGTAGGGAGAGGAAAGAGGGGAGGGGGGAACAGGAAGCCGGAAAATGAAGGCTCTCAGCACTCAGAGGCCAGGAGGGGCCAGGACGCAGGCCCAGATAAGCTGGGTGGAGAAAGGGGAGAATGATGAGGGAGTAAAATGGCGAAATCGTGGGTGGTTTCAGGCCTCTGGGTCCGACAGCGCTACGAAGCGGGTGTGACGAAGCTGGGCCACCCAGGCTCAGAGGCTGCTTCCGCCCCTGGCAGTAACTGCAGAATGTACCCCAGGGGACGGTTTGTTCCAGAACCGTGTCTCAGGGACCGAATGGGAAGAGGCAGGAGAGAGGGGGCGGCAGAGCCTGAAAGGTGAACACCCCAGAGAGGGGCCGGAGGAAGCAGAGACAGAGTCGAGAGAGGAGACAAAGAGACGGACACGCATTCAGAGGGGACAGGACCGTGTGGGGAAGGAGAAACGAGGCTGGGGCTGTAAAAAACCACTCAGATGCCCTGCAGCTGCTGTGAAGTTTGCTGAACCTTTATTAAGCCAGGGCCCCCAGGGGGCCGTGGGGCAGGGACAGGGCCCTGCAGGCTGGGAGAGGGGAGGGGCACGGAGGTGGCCGCAGTGGGGTCCACCAGGCGTGGCCAGCACTCATTGATTCTCGCTGGGCACCGGGGTGGAGGTGGGGCTGGCGCCCAAGGCCATCTGCATCTTCTCCACCAGCCCGGCCCACTGGCGTTGCATGTCTTGCACCAGGGGCACGAACCAGCCCTTGAGGCGGGCCTGGAAGTCCTCCGCCTGCAGGCGCATCTGGTCGGCCTGCTCCTTCATCTTGGTCTGCAGGTCCTCCACCTGGTCGCGCACGTCATCGAGGCGGTCGCGGGCCCGGCTGCCTATCGACTCCAGCTTTCCGCGCATCTGCTCGCTCCAGGCCTCCGCCCGCTCCCGCAGCGGCTGGCTGGCGGTGATGGCGCGCACGCGGCCCTGCTCCACCAGCGGCAAGAGGTGCTCGCGGATGACGCCGACCCCGCGCTCCGCGCCCTCGCGGGCCCCGACTCGGTAGAGAGCCAGGCGCTTCTGCAGGTCGTCGGCGTCGCGGAGCAGCCGTTTGCGCAGTTTGCGCAGCTGGGAGGCCAGGCGGGCCCGCACGTCCTCGGAGTTCTGGCCCATCATGGTCTGCACCTCGTTGCGGTACTGGGTCAGGCGGGTGCGCACGTCCTCCATGTCCGACCGCAGTCGGGCCTGCGCTGCCTGCAGCTCCTTGGACAGGCGGGCATGCGTTTCCTGGGTCATGGGGCCCAGCTGCGTCTCCAGCTCCTTCTTGTAGGTCTTCACCTCCCCCATGGTCTCCTCCATCAGCTTCCTGAAGGCGGAGGGGGCGGGAGGAGGTGTGTGTGGAGAGAAAAAGGGGAAAGATGGGGGTGGAGGGGGTAAGAAGGGGACGGGGACAGGGACAGAGAGACCCGAAAGAGGGAGAGGCGAGAGGAGGGGACCCAGACAGCCGGGAGCAGAGCTGAGCAGGTGGGCTAGAAAGAACGGAACTTGCCAGGGACAGGAAGAGCTGAGGAGGAATCAGAGGTCAAGCCAAGGATTCAAAACGGCAAGAGGAAGCAAGAAACGAACAGACCCCTGAAGAGTTCCAGACAGGAACTGCCCGCCAGGAGGGCCAGGGGCCAGGGGGGGGACACTCACGACAGTTCCTCCGTGACCTGGGTGCTGAGCAGTTCCTCCTGCACCTTGTTAGACAGTGTCTGCACCCACTGCAGGTAATCCCAGAAGCGGCCCAGCGCCTGCTCCCAGGGCTGGCTGACCTGCCACCACTCTGGCTCCGGTGCCAGCTTCACCTCCTCCTCCACATGGGCCTGGCATCCTGCGTGGAACAAAACAAGTCAAGGTCCCCTGCCCCCTTCAAGCACACAGTAGGTGCTTC